TTTTAAATATACATCTAGAAGCAAAGTTTTGGTTACAAGCCGAATTTAAGTGAATGCGTTAGTTGAGCACGGGGGGCTGGCACAACCAAATGTGTTCATAAGCCGCTTTGATCTGCTGCTGCTGCTGCGCATTAAACAGAAAGCACCAAATAGACAGGGTATAAGTGAAAATAACATCGCCTCATTTGCACTTTGATGCCATCGCGAAAAAATGAAGTACACAAAATTAATAGACTAGGGTAGAAAGTTATAGCTCAAACACTGTTATAATAAGTATAACCACTGTGAATGAGACAAAGGGGAGCACATTGAAAAGACTAAAGAGTAAGGAATGATTTCTTAATCAGTCAAATTGGTAAAGTGGATTTTTAAGTTCATTCTAAGAATTGCAATGTGTAAGAAAGAAAGAAAAATAACATGAGACGGGCGGTTCACAACAACAAAAGAACCTTTACTTCCATTTATCATCACAACACGATGTCCGTGACGTCATAAAATGGCGTCACACTGGCTGCGTGACGTCAAATACCTTATTATCTATCCTTAAATAGTCGTGTATTTTCTCTGAAAAGTTAACGGCGTTTAGGGTACATACGTGTCATACCATATAATCCGTACAAGTGTATTCAATTGGGACAGAGAAAATACATGTAAATTTGATGCAACATTATTCATAGTAACAAATTTGCGCTAACGAAGGTAGTCACATACGTAAGCTTTATTTTTACGAAAACAATACATAGCTTCATGTGCGATTAATTTACACACACTCACACACTCATACACGGACGCACGGACGCACGCACACACGCAAAAAAAAAAAAAAAAAAAAAAAAAAAAAAACGAATAAAAGGAAAACTGATAAAAATAATTATTAAAATAGCCGATACAAGCCGGACATGTGGCCCATATACATTGTTTGACTTTTTAATTTTTTTTTTTAAATCTCGTCATCAAAATGTCTATACAACCTGAAATAAACCTGTGTTTTCTAATGCCTATATGTCAGCCATTGGACTGACTGCATACATAAAGCGTAAATAAAATAGTATATCATCAGTAAAATGTATGATTTTCAGAAGTTATACTTATTATAAATATGATAATTATGAATTACTGCCATCGAACTAGACGTAACAATANAAAAAAAAAAAACGAATAAAATGAAAACTGATAAAAGTAATTATTAAAATAGCCGATACAAGCCGGACATGTGGCCCATATACATTGTTTTACTTTTTAAATTAAAAAAAAATTTCGTCATCAAAATATCTATACAACCTGAAATAAACCTGTGTTTTCTAATGCCTATATGTCAGCCATTGGACTGACTGTTTAAATAAAGCGTAAATAAAATAGTATATCATCAGTAAAATGTATGATTTTCAGAAGTTATACTTATTATAAATATGATAATTATGAATTACTGCCATCGAACTAGACGTAACACTACTGATCACCAAGAAGTGCCTGTGTCGGATACTTAGAGTGATAAATACAATAAAAAAACAGCAAACAGGAATCATCTGTGATACTCCAGCTCAACGTCTTACAATCCCGAGGAACGTGGAGTCGGAAAGCATGGCAGACTGGCAAGCCCGGTGAGGCAACGAATAATATTTGAAAGTATTATAAAAGTGTATTTTTCTGATTGTTTTCTATTAAAAGTTATGTAAATTAAAAGTCTTTTGCATAACAATATTTAATTCACCGTGTTTAGTTTTGCTTTTGTATAACGCTCTAAGATGATTTTCCAGAGAAAACAGTTCATCCTTATTGCTAAAAGGTAATTAAGCACCCACCTCAAACGGATTCTCGCGGGTTTTTCTAGTCTCGAATGGCGTCATGCAGTTTTGACAGCCTCAGATGATTTCTAATATCATTACACTTTTACTTTGCATTTGTTTGTAATACAAGACAAGCTGTCAGATACAATAGCAATACCAATTTCCAGTCTCGGTAAGTTACGCATGCGCAGCCAGTGGGGTTGGTCGTGTCTTGCGTGGTACCGTTGACAGTATGTGGTACGGTGGCGCTCTCTTCAGGGGGTCCCTGTAAACGAGAGGGATCCAAGACACGCCCCAAGAACAAAAGAAGATGATCCTGCTTCACGTAAAAAAGGAAAGGGCTGTCAACCTGTAATGAAAAAGGGTGGCCCCCTCTCTTAACTTCTTTTTAGCAGCACTGCAAACAAAACAAAACAGAAATTCCCCATCTCTTTTGCCGTACCTAGCCTGTTTTCGCTTTTTGTTGTAGTTTCTGTAGAATTATTAACTTTATTCAGAATTTCTTGTACCCGCTTGGAAAAAAATACGCACTTCCGCCCAGCTGCGCATGACCCTTTCACCTTCCTTATTAATTTTAGAACCAAATTATCTTATTTAAGTTTCATAATCTAATATAATATAAAATCGTATTTTGATAAATTTCACTGAAATAAAAAATGGCCACTGACGTATGTCTTAGTGTTTTATGTTTGTGAACTGAATCAAATCCACTCCATATGAGGCAGGAATAAAAAGTATAATCAAAGAAAATATATCAATAACAAAACGTGAAAAAAAAAAAGAATACCTTAATTTCCGGAAACACTTCCGCGTCCTTGATCAGTTCAGGGTCACCTCTGCTAACAACGCCATTATACTCCACGGAAAGCAGAGACTTGTGGCGAAAATCTTCCAGGTAAACCCCGTCAGGGAATGAAGTGATCTCGGCAAGCGGAGAAAAGAGGGTCAGATTGCCTATACCAAGTTCGGCCGCACTGTGAGAACTCCTGTCCAGTCCGAAATCTATCTTCGGAAAAATTAACCTGTCTACTCGAACCAGCTTCCAGTCTGCGGCCGGATCCGTCAGCGTGAGCTCAGGCAGAACCTCCGCTACGGATTCTAAACCATCCAGATCATCAGGCCGTATGATAACCATGTAACCGGATGCAAACGGGATGGCAATGGCAATGGCTTTGTAGTCTGGGAGGCCGGTGTAATATACACTGCCCTTCTTGGCTTCTATATAGGTGACTTTGACAGTCTGATTTTTATCCAGCCTAAAGGTTTGAATGCTTTGCCGGCTGTAGCCAAAGCGCAACGCTGCGCTTTGGGCAAGACGAATAGCGTCCACTAAGACGTAGTTAGTTGAGGCCTCCTTAAACTGGTCGTCCTCGAACACAGACTTGGCATCATCGGTTTCCAGGTATGACCACATGACGTCACCGAGCCACTCCCGAGACTCGTCATCAGAGAAATTTGCGCTAAAAAACTGTCCTTGGACTTTCTTACACTGCAACCTGTAACTATTGGCACACGAAGAGCTCGTGAAGTCGACACTCAGGCGCTGATTGACCACGTGCATGTCCACCTGCTGCCGCGAGAAGGATTCCTTGATGTAGTTGGAAAGCGTCTCCTGGTTTTGCCTGCTGCTGTAGTAAGAGACGCCGAGGAATGAGGCTAGTTCCTTTCCGGCCTGTCCTGTCACACAGTTATACACCATTGACACCAAGCTGGACCAAATGGAAAATGGAGAAAATATGAAGTTGCCCCCGGAACCGGAAGATGCCAATTTGCTGTAGACTGTTGTGGAGAAATTGAGCACCCTGTGGACGCTTTCCTCCACGGTGAGACTTGTGCAAGCGCATTTTGGCGCCTGTACTACGAGAGCCACGAGGCAAACGGTGAGAGCTATGAACAAACGGTTCATTCTGTACCTGGCCTTGATCCTAACCGAGTCGTTGTTAGGCGAGTAGTTTGACTGATCAGAAACCCGACGTCGGTATTTATATACACTAACGATAACCCCAAAGCAGCGCATGCTTTGACATGACGCTGGATGAGGCAACGCCCTAGCAATCTTAAAAATTCTTTGTTGTTGTTGTTGTTGTTGTTCAGTGTGACTCAAAGTACCGATTATCAAATAACAGTTGTTGTTTTGATTCTTATTAATTGGTTATAGATCCAGGGATCTCTCTAACCCCGGGCTGTACACCTGTGAAGGTTGCGCGTAATTGCACGAGACTATCGGAGAAAACATCTTCAGGCCTGCCTCTGACTAATCAACCGAGAATACAATTACTGCGCTAAGATGGGTTTACTGTCCGTAAAAGCCTAAAGCCACATTCAGTGGTGACGGTCGCCTGATGTCTTCGACATGCAGCATGTTAATTAGAACGGCCAGCGGCAATATTTTATTTACCAGATGAAGACCAACAACTTGACGTATTGCTTTACCGGTAAAATGTGTACTATAAGCTACATGTACATATATTTCCAAATTCAAACTGAAAACGATAAAACCATCCAAAAAAAGAAGCTATGCCGATATTCCCTTTTGTAGTGTACAGAAGAAAGTGCGGTGTGAGGAACCACGATCCTTAAAGAACTAAGTTATTTAATGAGAAATGGAACTCTCCAAATGGCACTCTCAAAGGCAGGGACAGATCGCCCAATGATTCGTGAGTTGGAAAAGTTGCTTTTACATAATGTGCTTCACGGCACAGCAAATGCATTCTAGCAATAATTCGACAAGTGGAATGTGTTATAGCAACTAACACAATCTTCATTCACCACCAGGCTGAAAGCTGGGAGACACCAGGAATGGAATTCCGGGGTACCATGCGATCAGTAAATTTTACGGTTGGCCAGAAGTTTTGACAAAAGGACACTTCCGAATTCTTCATCGCCCACACACATACACACACACACACACACACACACACACACGAACATACACTCACTCACATACACACACACACACACAACATACACACGGATAAAATGTGACGCGACACTTGAAAGCGTGCCGTGCTCGGAATCCATTGTCAGATGCGCCCCATATTTGATCCACATATTTGTTATTTCGCGGATCAACTGGTTGTGAACACGGCCTTAATGCATCCTTCATGTATCCGTTCAGAATGACCCCAGATATGCCTGGCTGAACCATAATTACAATAATTCATATTGTTACGTATTTAGACATTAGTAAATGAATTTACCGGTTTACCGGGATATTGAGCACAAGCCATTTTATCAGTTTCCGCCTCCGGACATATGAACAGTAATAAAGAGCAATAAAGTTCTAATATTTGCCGTAAAGCTACGTGAAAGGAGTTGGACAAAATATGGTAGGTACTGGGTAACGCCAGAGTGGCAGAAATGGTAGTCTTAGGAATGAGTGCCCGGGGTTCCATATGATAAGTACAGGCTACGGTCGGTCAGAAGTATCTGGGTCCATATACATGGGGCAAATGTCACCGGAACAAAGTAATGGAGGATGGAATACCATTTCTGTCACTTCGGTAAAGGCATGTCAATCCACTAGTGAATGAGACTTGATTAGGCATTGACGAGGTGTACGCTACAAACATGACCTAGTCCACATATGCTATGAACAGACATCAAAGAGTAGGCCTACAACGTATATATAAAAAATCGCTTCGGGAGTATTCCGTTAGATGCAGGGTCATATGTTACATTTTGTATGCATGACTAGACCTGTAGAACGAAAACCACGCGCTGATATGATTCAAAACTGTGTCAAAACTTTTCAATTCTTGTTTATTACTTTTCGTATTGCAGAGACACATATATCCATTTGTAATAGTCGCTATACTGGTGTTTGCTGGCACCTCAGCGCTGCCATTCGGTAAGCAATTTTTATCAGGAATAACTGTTCAATTAAAATTCTCGATGGTGTATTTTTCAAGGACTTTAAGAGTTTGACTTCACCCATGCATGTTAGCGTCCTGTGCGTGTATTTGGTACTGATAATAACAATTTGCTTATATTTTCACATAAAAGGAACGTTTGCAAGATCTTAGCATTCAATAATGAACTGTTCACATGTTGTTCATTATCATAACGATGGAATGTTTTCATCTTCAGACGTCGGGGCTGTCAAACGTCTCTCATCCTTGGAGACTTGGGACCGCTGGCCGGCAAGACCGGAAATCTGTCCTGACGTCATCTGCTGCGGAGAGCCGCCATGTTGTGACCCGGTCTTTTGTTAAATAATAAGAAAATTCTTCGCTGGGATGTCCACAGCGCTACCGTACACGCGATAATAGCATCAGATTTTGTTCGTTATTTACATATGTAAGAAAATAAAATGACGGTAATAATCGTGAGATATTTTAATTTTAATATTTATGAAACAGTTGATCGCGATGACGTAAAACCCAACTGTCCGAAAGTCGTTTCAAACTTATTAGATCTATCCAAAATATCCTAAAAGTATTCCATCTGACTGTTAAAGGAAGTAATAACTAAACTGAAAGTAAAACGAAAAACAAGTGTTTGTAATCTCTTCTGAAAATCAAAACGTAATTGACTGATGTGAGTCAAACTTTATATCACATGAAGTGATTGATTAATTTTGTAAAACTGATATCAAAATATATAGCTTTAAAGGCATCGTCCTACACAAAACCTGTCAGAAAGGAAACCCATGCGTTTTCAAAATAAGGCCTATTTAATATAATCGCCTTTAAAACTGTCATTCTTCCTTTTCTCTCAAAGTTTCTTCCCACGGCTTTTTCTTTCCAATGTCCCAATTAAAATGGTAAGTAAAACGCCATTTCTGGGAGGCGTCTGACTCTGCGCACAACGTCATGGTCACCTGACCTTCACTGTCCAATCCCAAGCAACGGTTTGTGCCAAGATGTTTGAGCATAGAATTTTCAAATGTCCATGTGTTGTTGCATTCACTGGTAAGATTGAGTGTTGCGTTTTCAGTTAAATCAAAACACCTTGCGTAAAACATAAATTGACCGTTTGCATCAAAATGAAAGGCGTGCTCGGCGACGTACTGATCTGAGCAGGGCGTGCTGCAGACCACGTGACCATCGCGAGATGTGACGTCATAACTGAGGCACGTGTCCTCTTTCGTGTGGTGAATCAACTGTCCGAAATACAGATTAGATTTTAAAGGTACCGGTGTATCGGGGATGATATTTTCGACGTACCAAGAAAACGGTTTACATCCCAATTGTTTTCTCAGCTCCTGGCGCTGTTCAATGTGCGTATAATTCACGGGCTCAATGGCCCATTGCGTGGCATAAAAGATATCTCTGTGCTCGTCTAGCCAAAGTTCCACCGTCTTTATTTGATTCTTCTGGATTATGGCACTCGATTTGGTCTTCACACTTTTAAAAGTATACGTCAGACCGCCATGTTTGAACACGTGGGCAACACGTGAGCACGGAATGGTCTCCAGGCGACCGCCACACATCCATATGCGAAATGAATGTTCGATATTCTCCGCCCCCCAAATTTCCATCGTAGTATCATACGCTCCGAGCTCCCAGAAATACTTCCGGTCGATGCCATGTGCACACCCAACCATGGTCGGGGTGGGAATCGGTGAAAGCTCCCCCTCACGGTTCTTCAGAACATCAATGGGTATTTTCCTCCACCGGAAGGTCATATCCCAGTCAAAAGTACCGCGAAAGTCTGGCACGGCTCTCATGAACTCAAAATCGTGCGGTTTTATCAGATCCATGACGGGAATGACGACACACGAGCGGCATTCTTTGATCCTGGCGACCAGAGGTTGCAGCCAATCAGTTCCCATCTCTGAGTGCGAATCCAAAAAGAAGAGCACGTCACCGCTGGCACGTGATGCGCCGTGCTGCCTAGCAACCATCAACCCGCTGCGTTCTTCCAGTCGGTACAGTTTGACCTTTTCTAGCTCGTCGACGTAATCAGCCAGCGGAGCTCCCAGATAATCGTAGGTGCTGTTATCGTCTACCAGGATGACTTCTAGCAGAAGTTCCGGCGGGG